TCTTAAATTAGAAAGCCAGGCTTCTCCTTGCTGGCCCAAACCCCAATTTTCATTACTTCATTATTCAGCTGATATATGAGAGATGTCTTGAAGGAGCAGGTGGGCTGACTTAGGTTCAAAAGGAACAACTGCAGCTCAGCAGCTTTCTATTTCAGAGGAAGGCAGTAATCCCACAGGCTCCAACCCTGCCCTATAAGGGATTCTCTCCATTCCCCAGCAATGACCTTGGGCACCATACATTACCACCAACAGGATTTAGAACCCCCATGTTGCAAGGAGAAATAAACAGCCAAGATTTTTTCTTCTAGCTCCTCATTTATTCTCTTTTAGAACTTCAGCATTGCCCTGGAAGTAGTGCTAGCAGTGTCTGTGTTATGGCCTGACCTGAGGTGCTGGATGGGAGGGGTAATCTACTGGCAGGTCACATGAGATTTGGGTTCAGTGGTCTCTTGGTCCCAGCCTGCTTTTACCTTCATAGCTGTGGTTGCCCACTCCTTGGTTGTAACAGTCATCTCAAGGATGACTCTAGTTCTACCAGGCAGAGGGAACAGGGGGAATTTTGTGTTTGTGAGGAATTTCAGCTTTAAAGTCTTTTCTGCTCACCAATTTACACTGCTTCTTCTGCTCATTGCGTGAATGCTACAACACTGCTGGTCTCTCTCCCCTGGTCTTTTCAGTCTAGATTTCATAAAATCTTCAGGATGAAGACTTGCACTTGCTATCTCCTCAGTGGCTAGCATGTTAGCAGTCTCATTTCAGCCTTCAAAAATTATTCAAGCTATTAGTAATAATGCTTGACAGCATGTTGGTTTAAGCAACAGGACAGCAGAGCTTCTCCAGGCAAAAGCCTGCAGAGGGAACCTGCCTAATGCCCAGCTGTTGGCTTCTTCCAAAATACATGTTCTGTAAAGACTCAGGGCAATGGCCAATACTCCCATGGATTGAGCCGTGAGAAATGCAGCTTTCCTTCTTCCCGAGGTAGAGGATTAAAAAAAAATAAGGACTTTTAAAAGGCTGTGGGCTAAAGTCTTCTCTCATTCTAGTGAGAAGAAGAGTAATACTGCTAAATGGTGAAGAAATCAGCTCGAGAACCCTCTGTGTGCAGACAGAGAGTGAGTGTCTGTTCAGTGCAGGGCAGGCACGTAGCGCAGTGCACGCTGTTCTTTCCAAGGCAATTGAAGTCAATGGGAGCCTTTGCAATCAGGCTTTCCATTAGCAGTTACTGGAATGAGCTCATCTCGTCTCCAATTTAGCTCTAAGGACATCTTGCTGAGAGTTGTCACACTGGCTGTTCCCCTACCCCCCTTCCATATTTGTTAATCCAAGTGCTGCAAATGCGAGTGGGATTTTGCATGGCATCTGTCCGTGTGCTATAAAAGCAGAGTGAGAATGCCAGCATCCCTAAGACCCCAACCCTGAGGGGATTTCTTGGCCCCAGTTAAAATGAATTAATAATAAGTGCATTGGCAGACTGTGTACAAAGATGAGCCAGATACAGGAGCCCCATTGGCAAGGGCAGGAGGACAAAAAAAATCCAGGAGAAGATCACTGATTTCAGCCTTGCAAGGGCCAAAATTCAACCAGGTTTGGTCTCTCTCTCTGTCAGGAGAAGCTGGCATTTAAGGCAGTATCTGACTGCCACTGCTCTGGCTGGAAAGATAAAAAGGTTTAGCTTCAAGAAAAGCAAGGTGTCTGTCCACTTCATGGCATTCAAAAGCCATCTGGTCCCTTAAAGCCAGGGGCAAAATGCAGACTGGCATAGCTACAGCCACCAAAGACTAGAAAGGCTCTTTGATGCCCAGCACTATCCACATAGCTAACTCTGTCATCAAAGCAGCCAGCAAAATTGGACTATATTTACATCCAAAAGGCAATAAAGAAAGCAATCTGTTAAGAGCGGCAGTTTTTGCAGCTAGGATTAAGTTTGCCCGAAGGCAATGGAAAGTCTCCAGCTGGCTCGGGATTAGCCTTTGGTGGAAATTACTTTACACACAGCAAATGCAGCCCAGGATTAAGGCTGTTAGCACCTTCAGGCAATAATTGGGCTTTGTTTGTATAGTGGCAGAAAAATGGATTCTGGTCTTGACTGAGGTTTAAGGATGTAATAAAATCAATTAGTTAATGCTGCCCACCCTTTGGAAGGAAATAAAAACACATGGGAAAGTTTCACCAGACAGAAAACTTCCTGCCTGCTCCCACTCCTTAAAGGTGAAAGCAAATGTTATTCTGCATTCTGCTCAAACCAAGCAGGTCACTGAAAGGACAAATACACCGATTCCTGCCCAGGTGGGCAGGAATACCATTTCTCTTTTGGCCCCAAATGCTCCTGGCCTCAGCTGAAAGAGCAGAGCCAGCACATCCCAAGAAGCCTCTTAGCAGCTGAGAATGCACTCGGGCGGGGGAATGGGCTGCCTTGAACCTCCAGGCCATCCCTGGAAATAGCCCACCCATCAATCATCCCCTCCCAAGCCAGGCCATACAAGGTAGGCAAGGTAGCAAGAGCCATATGGAAAGGGGCAGCACAGAAGTGGCCATGCATGGGCAATGGGACCTGGCAGGGACAGCTCTGGGGCAAGAACTGGGGCTGTGATCCACACAGCCACTCTTTCCCAGCAGGAGCCACTGCAAACCCACTGCATGGATTTTTAATATATGTACATATCATATTAAAAGAGACGGGTATTATATACAATATATCTAGTAGATATATAAACATATGCATATACTTCTCTCTAATGCTGAAACAGAGTAGCAGGACTCCAGCACTGCTGCAGGAAAATCCCAATTAGGAAAATCCCAATTCCCTATCCCAAAATGTACCCTTTATCCTTGTCTGAAGAGTAGTATGAGCTGTCTGATCCCTGCAAGGGGCTTTCCAGTGATATCAAAGTTGAGACAGAGAACAAAAAGCCAATGACCATGCTCAGCTCACATCCCCTGCCTTTCCTGGGTCTTAGAATCAACAAGATAGGAACAGACCAACAAGATCATCCAGTCCAACCATTCACTAGGCACTCCCACTCTAACCCCTAAAGCACTCAACTGGGTGCCTCTTGAACATCTCTTGGGGACTCCACCACCTCCCTGAGTCTTGTCCTGCTGAGGGATGGCTGCCTGCCCTGGCAGTCACCTACAGCCTCACTGGAGCTCCCCCCACAGCAGCAGCACAGCTCCCACCCAAGCTGCTGGCCCCAGAGTAACCTGTGCTGGTGTCCCTGCTGCCCCCATAGGATATCCACCCCCCAACAGCAAGAAACCCCCATGTTTCTTGATCCAAGAAATATAAATGTGCTCATAGAAAACTTTCCACTCTCACAGAAAATAAGAAAATTGGAAGAGAAATTCCTTGTGTGTGCAGAGGGTCAGCAGGAGTGGGTTAAATTCAGAATGCTGATGGGATGCTCTCCATATTCATTACTTCAAACTCCTTTCACTTTGCTAGCCTGACCATGCAAAACTCACAATTTTCTTCTTTCCTGTGGGAGGGGACAGTTTTCCTTGGCCACATATTTTTTTTTCCTAGGTCTCCCTCTAGACCCACAGTCCTCCTCATCCACCAGAAGCTCCCTGATAGTCTGCCCTTCACACCTCCTGCCTCAGCCATCCATTTCTCTGGGTGACAGGGCAGGGCAGGTCAGCACTTTCTTCTTGCTGCTTGAGGGAACTTTCCCTGACTGCCCCAGGAGATAACAATTTCCAGTCCCAAATCTTGGTTTGGAAGGAACTATTCTCCCACTACTAATCCTTGAGAGATCAAAGCACCCAAACCTCTGTGGGTGACATGAGACTTGTGAGATGCCCAGCTAAAGCTCAGACCTACAAGTGGCTTTTCCTTAGGATCCTGTGTCAGATCCCAGATCCTGTGCAACCCAACCCTCCCCTGGTGCTTCTCCATTCAAACCAAGGCTCGTCCCTTCTGTAGTGTTGTCCCCCTTGCCAGGGGACCCCACTTACCTGGGAGGAGTAGAGAGAAGCACCGAGCTCCCTGTCGGAGGGGATGGGCAGGCTGGGATCTGCGAGCGTCCCAAGGTGATGCAGCTCTCAACTTATAGTGACATTTGATCGTCTGGAAGAGCTCATTGGCCCCAGGCTCCCTGTGCCGGGCAGGGAAGGGAGCAGGGATGGGCGGGGAAGGGGTGAGATGGCAGGGGAAGCAAGGGAAGGGGATAAAAAAGGTCATACCATGTATAGGAGCAGCTGGAGGAATTGCACAGATGATGCTAAGATGGGAGGGACATGTTTGGAGAAAAAAAAAACTCCAGGGCTTATGTTTCTATATTTACAACCAGGCAAGGCTCAAAGAGGGGTATCTGAGGCAAAGGCACCTCAGAAGCAAATTGGGGGGCTCCCATAGCTCCGTGGAACATGATCACTGCTAAAAACCTGGCTGTGGCAGCCTGGATCTCCCAGTCTCAACACTCAGCAGCAACCTCCACTCTCCCCCCTGGGCAGGGGCTCTTCCCAGCTCCCCTCCACATGCAAAGGGTTTGGCTGTGCTGCAGGGTGAGAATTTTGGGAAGGCCTGTGGACCTTCTACATTTAAGGCTCTTGGAAACCAGCAGCCACAGGCACGCAAGGAGGCAGAGGCACTTGGCACACACGTTGCCTGAAGTGCATCTGTGTGTGAGTGCTGTGCGGCTCACACCCCCCCTCTCACTGAGACTGCTGGGGCTCTGCCACACACCAGGGCTTCAGGGGACCTGGAACAAAAAGCAAGAGAGCAGGAATGCCACTAAGGAGCTTGTAAGCCTTTCTTAGCATGACATGAAAGCATTATTTAAGTTAGGACTTCTTAGGGAGGGCAACCCCAGGTGGCTGGAGCTTGGGTGCCTGGAGCAGTTTTGCTGCCAGAGTTCTCCCCACAGTTGCACGACTATTCCAGCAGAGGATTGCAGCGCCTCACACAACCCTCTGGTTCAGGGTTTCCATTTCACTAAGTATCCCAGGCTTCAGCTTCCCGTCCTCTCCCTTCCCCCCCGCTCCCCTTGGCAGGGCTCCCCAGCAACACAGCGTGTGCCCTGCTGTGTGCCTGGCAGCTCCAGCACCCCCTTCCTCCCCGCCTGTAGGAGCCGAGAAGAAGTTCAGGAGCTGTGGGGCAGGCGATATTTTTGGCTCAGGTCACAGATTGATTCCTGCCCACTCTTTCCCTGCTGCTTGCAAGAAAGGGTCCCCATCTGAGGATGTAGAGACAAGCTTTCAAAGCCGTGGAGTGGGAGCACAGTGCTGCAGCTTCCCAGTCACCAGGTAACATGCACGAGCTAAAATCTGTCCAGCTTGCCTTTTCCAGCTGTCCTGCAGCTTATCCCCTGCAACCCACATCCAGCCAATGCTTTTGTTATGTGTCAGGTGGGAGTGGGACAGCGTATCCATCCTCAGCGCTCCAGCTCCATGTGGGAATTTGCTGGGTAGGGTGGGGAGATGGGTGGGCACCCAGAGCTGCTGAGGAGAGCAGCAGCTGCATGGGAACACATGGCCAGACCTGGAATCACCACCTCCACACCCCTCTCCAGCTCTGCCCAAAGCACTAACACGGCAAAGCGGCTTTCACGCTGTGCCTTCGGAACCACCGAGACATTTTGCTCTCTTCCACTGGCTCATTTCCCCTAAGCTCTCCACCAGCTGGGCATGCCTCCAAGAAATACCATATTTGCCCAAACTAGCAGCAGAGTGGGGGTGCATGGGAGGAGAGGCTCCCAGCTGTTTCTCTTTTTGTGTCTTTGGTGGGCCCAGTTTGGCAATGGCCTTCACCAGCCCCTGTGCCTGCCTGCCTGCCAGCTATAGACTGTCCCTGCTGCCAATGGGGGGCTGCAACTCAGGCCTGCCACGCCAAGGACCTGATCAATCAGCTCAAAAGAAAGCATAAGAGTGTGTGTGTGTGTGTGCCCAAGTGCATGCAGAGCCTGGGCTTACAGCAGGGTGCTTCCCAGCAGGTGTGGGCTGAGTGCTCCCATGGGCCCATCTGCTGCCAGCCATTTGGCAGGAGCAGCGTGAGCATCTTTGGGCAGCGCAGCCTCCACCAGAGCGGTGCTGCTCCTGCCCACCTCACTCAGGGCTCACTCTAAGCATCCTGACAAACATGCAGCTGGTACCAGCACTGGGAAGGACAGGCACTCAGACCTCTCTGCTGCAGCTCTGTTTGCAAATAGATGAGAAGCAAACATTGCTGCCTGCAGTACCCACTCGGGTCCTGGACATGGCAAGCAATTACTCCAGACAACACCCATCTTTAGATCATGTGTCATGCCTGTGCTCTGTCCTCCCCATCACCATACCCTGAGAGCATGGCCTTTCTGCTTAGTACTGTCCCAAAGGATATCTGTGCATCCATGGACTGCCTCTGCCACAACTCATGTCATTCATCTCATTTGCAGTCCCAGCATGATCTGCATCCCTCCTCCCATGGGACAGAGGGACCTTTTCCATCCCTCAGCAAAGAGGGCTTGTCTGATGCACACCTCTTACATTTGCTCTGCTGACATCTGGTTCACAACCAAGGTTCATTCCCCACAATCCAATTTATGTCTGTCCTTTCTTCCCTTTGTGGGTCTCTCTATCCAGTTTAGCATGTAAGTACAGGCCCCTCCAACATTTGTTTAATACCTTAGCCACATAACCTGCTTTTCACACATTCTCTGTCACATCCTGATTTCACCTCTTGATTCCATCATGCAGCAGTTTCATTCACAACCTGCCACATTTTCCTCGTCAGCTTTGTCTCTTGTTACTTCAGATGCTCCTGCTCTAGGAGATATAATTTTTGCTGTCTTGACATCATCTGCTCTCCCTGCACCAGCAGCAAGGTGACTGGGGCTCTCCTCCGAGCTGCACAGCACAGCCATGGCAGCCTAGAGAGCAAGCAAGCACCACCACGTATCTCACACTCCCTACTGATCACAGAGCCCAGATGGGGGGGAGATGATCCCAGCTGTGCCCACACAGCTGCCAGAAGCCACTCAATTTCATTAGGAGAGGGTGCAGCTGCACCTGTCATGGGATAAGCCCCTCTCTGCCACCAGCTGCCAGGTTAGGAGACAGCACCAAGGCCAAAGAGCACACGTGAGGTCACAGGCATGAACCAGGGTCTCAGACCTCAGAATGTCCCTCTGCCAGCTGACCTCAAGCCAGAGCCTGGCATGCTTTAACTGTGACAGCATACAGCAAACCAGTGTCCCTCCTTGAGCAGGAACTAGAGGCTGGGACAAAGATCTAGACAAGTTTCCATAGGCAGCATTGCCTAATACCACTGGCTACTTGAGATGGGCCACAGGAAGTTATTGTGCTGCTGGGCCACTTGCAGGGAAGCTGTAATTAACTCTTCTCATATTTTCTAGCTTTTGGTTGACCTATTGCAGCAGCCAGTGCACCCAGGGGAGATGATTTTACACACAATATGCACACACATTACCCCAGATAATTTTACAAGCTGCATAAAGATGTGTGCTTGATCAAAGGCTCACATACATGCTTTGTTCGGGTTTGTTTTTTATTTAAATATCCTTTCCCTGTGCTCACTGTACACCAATCAGTAGGCAGCATTCAGCATTTTCATGGATCATTGCCTCCATGGCTGGTTAATACTCAGCCAGGGAGCTGAAATAGCACTGGAAAAGTTTATCTGAAAACCTACATCCCTGGATGTCTGAAATCCTAGATGTTCTTTAAAGACTACAGAGTTCATAAAATCAGCTACATCCTTCCCATAAAACTGCCCAGGATATCAAATTTCTGAGATAAAGTAATACCTATCCCTATCCACCATTACTCTCCAACACTGAACAAACAGATCTGCTTCCAAAGCAGACTTTGCTTTGGCCCTGGAGTTGGGCAAGAGGAGCTCCTGAGGTCCTTTCTCACTCAGACTTGCCCATTACTGCACTTACATCTTCGTGGTACAGCTACAGAGGAATTTTCACTGACACCTTCTGTCATTCAAAAATGGTTAAGTTAGTTATGAGGAAAAGGTGTTTTACTTGATTTCACAGTCTGAATGATTCTTTATATCCCCTCCTCTCCAAAGTCATGTTTTAATGCTTTCAAAGCAACATTTTTTACTCTTTTGCATGATACAGGTATTTTGATTTTGGCATGTTTGTCTGCTTCTACAAGTACCAGCCTTGAAATAATTGAAGGTATCCAGAAAAATGTATTAAGCTGACTGGGAAAGTGTGGGGATGTGGTTTTCTGTTCTGTGACATTCAGTTATAAACCTTTTACCATGATTCAGGGCAGAGGGGAAATGGCAAGCACAAAAGCCATTTAAGAAGGCAAAGTAAATTTTGTACAGTTCCCCTACGTCCTTTCTTCTCTTCATTGCACCCCAGAGAAAGGGTTTCTGCAGGGGGGCTTATTCAGCAGTTCAAGGTTAGAGTAGATGCCCTATGTTCATTGAACACTCTTTCCAAGTTAATTGAAGTAGCTGTCAATAAAAAGGCAGATCAGATAGTGGCTAAGTACATTCCAAGAAAGGACAGAATATAAATACAGAATATATATATAATTATTTTCTGTTCCTGGGCAAAATCCAATGACCTGTTTTATGCAGCCAGTCAGAAAGAGATCAGAATAGCCTTTAACTTTATAACCAGCTCCTCTGAGTTATCAGCAGACCACTATCATTTTACTGGTGATAATGGGATCCTGGGGAATCTGAAACAGCACAAAGGGGCTGAGAAAAGACCATATTTTCTCCCTGGCTCCTCTAATAATACCATCCTCTTGGCACTTGGGCTGAGGATCTCTGACCTTGTTTCCCCAGCAGTGCCCTGGTGCAGTGTTTGCCATGCACAGTGATGCTCCTCTTGCAGCACTCATTCAGGTAACAAGGAGAGCAAACATTTGCCAAGCTGTGGGTTCACTGACCTGAACCTTGGAAGGTGGCTGGGGAGCCTCAGTGTGCCAACACCTTCTGCTGGTTGTGGCTTCATGAAGTCACAGTTCAGAGGCATAAAAAGGAGAATAAAAGGCAACAAACTTGCATTCTCTCATTGATGACCACATGACCTACATACACCTCTATTTAGCTTCCTGGCATTGCTGTTCTCCTCCTTGCATCTGGTGGGAGAGAGTCAACCAACATTTCCATGGAGGTCTCTAGTGTGTCATCCCTTCTGTGAAAATTGGTTGGTAGAAATATCTGCCTCTCTTAGCCTGTAAAAACAAACTCTACATCTTTGTTAAGAAATAGGAAGGGATCTGAACACTCCCTACTTCAGCATGTACAAACACAAGCCAGCCCTTTGCATCATTCATACAGTGTGTGCTGGAAATGCATGCATTAGGCTGGTGTGGTTTCAGTGGTGACAGTGGCAGAGCAGGACACAATGTGTCCTTGGGCATTTCTGAAGCCTGTTAAAAATATTCTTATTCAGAATATGGGGATTCTTAAGTTTCCCGTTGGGTTATTATTGCCTGTTTTTTTTTTTTTTTTAGCAACATCTTCAGTGTTGGGGACTCACAAAGTCACTAGCACTCCTAAAAGACAAGGGCATTTTTGAGACATTGAAGCTGTCAGTCAAAGAGGAATTAATTGCATTAGGGTGATTGTATGAAGGACCAAGCAGCTACTCCAAATCCTTCCAGAGGTCTGCACTGCAATAAGGAACAGTGTGTCCTGCAGAGCCAGGCAGGACCTCAGCAGTCATCAGGGAGGCAGAGGGGAAGAAGGCAAATTGAGAGCTCACCTCTGACACCCACTCCAAAGCACCAGCACAAACCCTCCTTCCCCACAAGAACCAGCCTCATCAGATGGGCCAGACCTCTGATGGATGAAGGAAGAGCATTGCTACCTTGATCCATGCTGGAGTAACTCAGATTAGAGAGGAGTCAATGAGCAACAAGGCTTAGCAGGGAGAAGCAGAAGGAATTTGCCTTTAGAGCTGGCTTTGTGGCATAGCTCACCAGCATCTCAAATGCCATATGAACAGCCCAAGCTAACCTGGGCATAGAGCTGCTTTGTAGACCTCCAGGAAATTGCTCTCACATGCCCCCATCTTCCTGGGAATGTGTTTAACCCCCCTGCTGCTGTGGCATTCACACTTAAAGGCTCCTGAAAAGCTGGCAAAAAGCAGAACATGAGAAGTCAGCTGTAAATCAGGAAGAAATGCCTCAAGGCCTAGAGGCAGAAAGCACCTGCATGATGTCTGGGCAGCTCACAGGCTGCCCAGGACAAAGGCAGGCACTGATGCTATCCCTACCAGCTCACTTCAGCAGTCTTAGCTGAGATCTTGGAGTCAAACTGCACATAAACCCCTCAACCAAAATTCACCAAAATAACCAACTCCAAACCTTCTCTGCTCCCAGTGCAGCATTTTCTACACTTGCATCCTCTGCACATAGCATGTGCCTCGCCAGGAACAAGTAGACAGAGTTTGCTCTCTTCCTCTCTTGGGAAGGTAACAAAGCACAGCTCCAAATTTGCATTTTGCAACCCTGACTTTTGCAAAACAGTAAATCTCACCAGCCAACTTGAAAAGCCTCCAACTGGTTTCAGTGCCTGGAGCTACTCTGCTAGAATAGCCGTCCTGGCAACATCACCATCCTCTGCCCTTCACCTCTCCAGTACTTCAGATGCTGAACTTTGCAGGGCCAAAGTTGGGAGCACGCAGTGGTGTTACTCGATAGCCCCTCTTCACGCTAATTTTAGGTGGTGGAACTTTACATGCTTTTAAAAAGTACTTTTATTTATTTTTGAGAAATCTCTTTTATTTAGTGGTTACCATCAACACTTTTCTATCTGATGTTTTGAACTCGCCTACAGGTCTCTAGAAGTCACAAACAACCAGCACCTGGCATGATCTCAAAGGAACCTGTTAATTTTGTAAACTGGATTGAGTAGCATGATGCTCCCAACATGCAAATGATTTCAGATGGAAACAAATTACACATCAGTAAGTAATACATTTTTTCAGTTAATATTGATTTCTGACTTTTGTGGTAGACTGTTCCTCCATCACTCATTTGTTTGCCCTGGGACGTGTCCTTGCTGCATCTGCTTTAGACAACTAAGGCACAACCCCTGTGGGATTCAGGAGATCCTGCTTGGACTCCCTAGATCTAGGCTAGGTACCTCTCCAAATATAACAAATCAGGTTTGGCCATTCAAGATAGGGGCTGGGTCTCATCCTCACACTCTTTACACCTAAATGGATCAGACAGGTTGACAGTGAGGATGATAACTGAGCAGCAGGACAGGAGTCCGGACCAATGCCTGCAGCTGCTGATTGGTGTCCCCAGAGGAAGTGAGCGAGGCAGGAGACCAGTCAAGGAGCTCACAGCTGCTCCACAGCCTTGGGGAAGACCCACCTATCCAACCAAACACCTCACTGCATAATTACACTTGCAATTTGCTGCTTTCATGCCTTCAAGGGCTCACTTGTATAAATCCCAATGGGATCTCCCCCTTACTTTTACTCAACTTTTCCCCTTTCTTCCCATCATTCTTACAAGTCCCAAGTCCATGACACTTTTTTCTATTTATTTAACGCCTGTCTTTAGCATTGCTAAACCACTGTTTCTGAGAGTTATCAGGAAGAGATGAAGCACCTTTCTGAAATTTTGCGATCTAAATCAAATCACTCCAGTGCAAACAAAATCCTCAGGGAACTCAGTGCAAAATCCCAGGGAAATCACTTGTCTCAACACCAGGATCCTTGGAATGGTTCAATTTCTAAAGTAAATCCTAGCTGCAACTGCACTTTTGTCAATGTGAAATACATTTTTTCTTTTAACTTGTTTATACACAGACATCTATATATATATAATGCAGCATCAGGGAAAGTGTCTTGAGCTGGCAAGGAGTTACCAACAGACCAACCCCAGAACCTTGTTCAGCAGCATATCAGCTGCCACCTCAGTATTTATAGCCACCCTGCTCTTTGAGCTTGTTTATTTTCCTTCCCAAAGGTGGTGGTGGCAGGAGGCAAAGCTCTGATATTCAGGCTCAGGTGTCCCCGAGGCTGACCTTTCCTTCAAAGAGCAGAAGCTGCAGACACATTTCAAGGAACAAAGTCATTTGGAAACTCTAGACTCGTGTCCATTACCACACCAGAGTCCCAGTGCAGAGCAGCACACAAGGGTTGAGCAGAGATCTGTTAATTAGCATGCACTCATATATATTAGGATGGATGTAAAAATGAGTCTGTAATTATTTTATACCTGGAAAGGGAACCTGATGAAGTCCAGAGCCCAGTCTCAACGCAGAACAAGTGCTACATAAAGACATAACACTCAAAACAGACTTGAGTTTTCTGTTATTTAAGTTTCCCCCAAGTTTAAATAATGCTGCTTGACAGCAGTACAGCAGTCATGGACCACATTTTTCAAGATCCCATCTTCCATAAATTCACGTAGAATTCATCTGTTAAACCCTGTTGGGGAAAAAAGCAGCCCTGAAGCCCACCACAAAGACAAGCAGCACATTTCAGTATCACTGCAGCCTCCACAGTTTTACTTCAGAGCCAATGCTGCCAAAATGATGTTCCCCTTCTGCATAATCTAGACAAGATGGGTAAAAAAGAAATTGTAGTGAAACAACACCTCAAGGTATGCTACCAGTTCAGAGCACTGAGAGCCCACATAGGGGTTCCCAGTCTCTCTTTTTGGGCACTGCCAACCTGCCAAGGGGATGGTAATTTGGAGAAGCATGGCAGCACAGGGATGCAGGCAACCAGCAGATACAGGGTATCAGGAAAGCATCACTCTTCTCCACCAGGCTTTGAGAGTAAGACTAAGCCTGTAAGACTCACTCAGTGTGACAGTTTGTCCTTGTTATGCTCAAAATGCAGCAGTCTCAGGAGAAGACAGAGCTAAGGTCTCAAAGCAAAAGCCTCCAAGATGCCAGTGCTGCAAAAACCACAATGCTGTGAAAAATGAACAGAGGGAAGATAGGAAGCAGTCAGGCACTGACTAACACCAGACCGGTAATTGCTGCAGAGTGTACCAGCCTGCTCCCCTTCACTCACAAAATCAGCCACAGGTTCCTGCTGAGGGAAGGGATGAGCTTCCATGCCCCCATCCCCTCTTAGCATTGCCCAAAATGCACATCCAGCATGTCTGGGCTGCAGCATCCCTTTTTTGTTTTTTTTTTCATTTTGGGAGGTAGGGGAAAGTATCACCATTCTGGTAACCCCACCACCATGTGCACGCCATGTTACTTTGGGAGGAGAAATAGCACATCAAGTTAATTTAGCTGTGGAAACATTTCCCCTGGCAGATAGAAGTACCTCATAAAGAGCTGCACACATTTACTCTGAGCCAGTTCTCTCCATGGTTCCTGACCACCACTAGAGAGCTCTGGTGTCCCATAACCTGCTCACTTCTCTGCTGTCACCACAACCTGAATTACAGCAGTTGTTTATTGAAACCACATTGAGGTCCCTGTGGGCTTTAAGTGGAGAAAATACACTCTGCAAATTAATCCTCCTTAGAGAAGGAATGTCACACAAACAACCTTTAGGGCTTTCTCTGCCCTCTCCAAACTGGCAGGGCACAGCAATAGTAACTGGAGAAGTTTTCAGCCATCATTTCTGCCAGCCAGCAACAGAATTGTGTTGAAAAATCAGTGCAACCAGTTTGCACACATGCAAAGTTATTTTCACCTCAAGCCAGAACATCTCTATGCACCACACTGCCACTGCTCCAGCCCCTCTTGAAAATCCCAGCACAGCAGAGGAAGGGCTGAAGGGAGGAAAATGGGGCCAAGCTGCTCAGTGCTTTGAAGAACACAGGACTCCTTGAATTCCTACCTCCCAGAACTGAAGCAGAGGATGGGGAGAACAAGAGTACCAATCAGCAGAAATATAAGAGGAAGAAGTTATATTTGGAATTATCTCCTTCCTTACCTACACTTTCCTGAAGTGTTAGGATAGCAGAAACTCTTCATTGTCTCTACCATAAAAGTGTTATTACTTGGAAGGTCACCCCCATAAAAAGGTTTTTCCATAACAAGGTAGATGGTTCCAGATAGAGCCATCAGCTCATTAGTGTGCTGGGCTCCAGTACAGACAGCTACACTGACCTTATCAAAGCTGGACGAGCAGGATACAGAGGATTTTTTTTTTTAATAGCTCCCATCAGCAGTGATTTTGGTTCAAGCCTTTGAGGTTGCTCAGGTCTGTTACCTGAGGAGTTAAGCTCTGTGCTTCTCCTAGCTGATCACACTCCCCAGGAAGTCTCCGCAGCCTGATCCATTACTCCCTCCCCTTTTAAAAAGGAATTGCAACTCCTCCCAGTGAAAAACCCAGCAAAACAACATGGATCTAAATGGGGCAGGCACACAGAAAGCCCCTTTCCCTGCTTATGTCAAGCTCCTTTTCTTCTTGTCACTCAGATTGATGCTTCTTCTCCTCTACCTCATATTCAAGCAGAGTTTCAAGGTCTTGGAAACAGCTTTGCCGCAGACTTCTCCATGAACAAAACTCTCAGAGCTGTCATCATTACAACATCTTCTTCAAATTTTATTAAATGCTTACAAAAAAAAAAAAGAAAATCCAGGGGCAGAAAGTTTTAAGCAGAAAGCACATTGATGCAGGAGGAAAAACAAGCTGCCCTCCCCTCCTCCAGGAGGGTAGAAACAAGTTGCAAAATTATGATGATATGGAGAGAAGGAAGGAATGAGACTAAAGAGGGGATGGGGGACATGTTAACACCATGAAGTATGAAACATAGGAGAGTTCAGAAACAACCCTAGAAGTCCATTTGCAGACCTCAGGCCCAAGGCCAGAAATGTCACCCTTGAAGGACTCTGTTTCCTCAAGGTCACAGCAAACCTTGGTCTCCCCAACAATTCACTAGGATGCTATTTCACCAAGATAGCTCCCAGCAGCAGCCATTTCCCAGGTATCCTGCTCAGCCTCAGGAACACAGCTCACCAGATATCAAGGTGCCACCACATCTGACTTTCAGAAATGTTTCACTCACTGGCACTGCAGCCCACTGGCTGGAGAATAAGCAAATCACTTTCCCACAGAAGGGAGATAACACCAGTGGCCAGGGAAAGGAGACCTCCAATCCATCTTAGGCAGGCAGAGAAAGGCAGCAGCCATTTGAAATGAAGCTGCTATTGTCCTACTGAGACAGAAAAGTGGCAGGAACATTTTGGCATGGGCACATAACTGTGATTAAAGAATGATCTGGGAACTAAAGAAAAAGACCAGGAATAAGTCAAATGCAACTTGATGTACACTGACTAGAGATGGAAGTCCCTCAAAGCAGATAACAGAGGAACAGAGGCTGCATCATAAACAGGGCAAGACTTTACCCACAGCTGGCACCAGCAGAGTGACAAGGGGTCCTTGCACTCTCATCACACTCTCCTTGAAGGTCTTTTTACACTCAGGACCTGCCCACTGCCCTCCTTTCAAACACCAATTCTTCACCAGATTTCT